CCGCACATAGCGGCCACATTAGACAAGCTCCGAGGATCCCGATACCTTTCCACGTTGGACCTCAAAAGCGGGTATTGGCAGATACCGTTGACACCAGAAAGTCGCCCAGCAACTGCCTTCATCGTACCCGGGAAGGGTTTATTCCAGTTTAGAGTAATGCCTTTCGGCTTACACTCGGCGCCCGCCACATTCCAGAGATTGCTAGACTCAGTCTTGGGGCCGGAACTAGAGCCCCACGTCCTAGTATATCTAGACGACATTGTAATCGCCAGCCGTACCTTCGAGGAACACCTCCGGCATCTCGCGGAAGTCTTTCGCCGGCTACGAGAGGCCCAACTACGGCTAAACCGCGACAAATGTCATTTCTGTCGAGACAGCCTCCGGTACCTCGGTCACATCATCGACCGGCGGGGTATCCGTACCGATCCCGAGAAGGTGACCGCCATTACGGGATGGCCCGCTCCTACTACCGTACGCAAGGTTCGGCAGTTCCTGGGCATGGCGTCGTGGTACCGATGGTTCATACCGAACTTTTCAACCTTGGCCGCCCCAATCACGCGGCTCACGAAAAAGAACGCACGATGGGCATGGGGGGACGCAGAGAACGACTCATTCTTCCGCCTCAAGGAGGCTCTCACGTCGGTCCCAGTACTGGCCTGTCCGGATTTTACCAGACCATTCCTGCTCCAGACCGACGCAAGTTCACACGATCTCGGAGCCGTGCTGACGCAACAGCTCAACGACGGGGAGCGCGTAATTGCGTACGCCAGCCGTACGCTCAATGGCGCCGAGCGAAATTACAGCGCCACTGAATTAGAGTGCCTTGCCGTAGTCTGGGGCATCCGCTGAATGCGTGGCTATCTGGAGGGGTATCGGTTCACCGTATTTACGGATCACCACGGACCACCCTGAAATGGCTGCAACAACTAGAGGCACCCACCGGCCGCTTGGGACGTTGGTTGTTCGAACTACAGCAGTTCGACTTCAGTATCCGGTACCGGCGCGAGACACAAAACCAAGTGGCAGACGCGTTATCCCGGGAGCCCCAAATTAGCGCGATTAACCGTGAGCCTACCTGCCGATGGTACCGGCGGACTCTCGCTAGGGTGCAGGCTCACCCGACGGAATTTCCCGATTACAAGATCCGGGAGGGACGTCTCGTCCGCCACGTATTACACAGCCTTGATTTTAGCGACGTTCCTGCCGAAAATCAGTGGAAGCGATGCGTCCCCAAGGAACAAAGAGGGGACATCCTACAGCGCCTACACGACGCTCCGGCAGCCGGTCATCTCGGCATAGCGAAAACGGTCGCCCGCATTGCCCTGTTATATTACTGGCCCGGGATGTTCCGGGAGATCGCCAGATACGTCCGCCGCTGCCCCACCTGCTTAGCATATAAGGTGCCCCAGCAGCGACCCGCTGGGGACCTGCACGCCACGCTAGTGACCGCACCCGGGAAGCAAGTGTCCGTCGACTTAGTGGGACCATTGCCCCGATCAACCAGAGGGTATACCTGGCTACTAACAACCCAGGACCGATTCAGTAAATGGGTGGAGATGGTGCCATTACGGCAAGCCACGGCCCCAAACCTGGCCCGCGAGGTCACCAAGCGAGTCATCTACCGACACGGGTGCCCCCAGCAGCTAATATCCGACAATCGCACGCAATTTACTTCGCGCCAATTCCGACAACTGCTCGCCGCGTTCGGGATCGAACACCGAAACTCTCCGGCATACGCCCTCCACTGTAACCCAGTAGAACGGGCGAATCGCACAATTAAGACGATGATCGCCCAATATGTGAAGGAGCGTCACCGGGATTGGGACGAGCACATTGACGCCTTACAATTTGCGCTCAATACCGCCCGACACAAAGCAACCGGATATACCCCGGCTTTCCTGACTCACGGGCGGGAGCTAGCCAGGCCCAGCCCAGAGGATCGCGGACTGGTAACCCACCAAGGGACTCCGGAAGTCACCCGCCAGCGGCTAGAGGAGGCGTTCGAACTAGCCCGAATACACCTAGCCCGTGCCTTTCAACGCCAGGAACGGCACTACAATCTACGGTGCCGCGACTGGCGACCTCAAATCGGCGACCGGGTGTGGAAGCGGGACCGTCCCTTGTCCAACCGGGGCGAGGCATTCGCGGCCAAACTCGCGCCCAAATTTATCGGCCCCTTAACCGTTCGGAAAATTGTTTCGCCCGTCATCGTTGACTTACGCGACGCTAGGGGAAAGTGGCACCGCCACGTGCATGTCCAAGATTTAAAACCCGCGCCTTGATTGACCGATACCGCGGAACAGGCCGGAGAAAGAGAGAAAGAGAAGAAGGACAGACCGTAGAGTAATAAACCGAGTCACCGCGCTCAACGCAGGCCCCCCCCCCACC